ATACATATATATAATCTAATATATATATAATTTAACAAAATTATTATAGTCAGGTGGTAGAAGAGTAATAGAAATGTAAGATCTATTAAGAAAACATAGATCCTTAAATCACAGTAATGCTGCTAGAAAATTTGGAGACTCCACCAGCACAAAGAGAACAGAAACTTCTGCTATACCAGATGAAAAACATTCCCATCCCCAAGATAGTTCAGATGCAGCTGTCATTATAATTTTGTTCGGGCACATTTCGTGCTATTTAATGCAGTTACATAGCTTTGGAGGATGTCTACACATGGATCTCTGATGTTCTCTTCCAGAGCACTGCTTCAGGGTCAGCCCTGCACTGGCAGACCTTGTGGGTCATATTTGGCTGGCTCAGAGTGCAGGTAGAACAAGATGTAGATATCCCCTTCAGGTAAATCTTGGGGCTGTCATCCTGCAATCTGACCTTGACTGGCAAATCACAGAGGTCATATAGAATCCCACTGACTTCAGTAAACTCCATTTTGGTACGAAGGTCATTCTACATGGATCAGGATGGGTTTAGAATCTGTAGGACTGTAAATACTTACATGTTTAACTTAACTTATTCATAGAACTGGCTCATTTTTCTTTATGCATTTTCAGGGGGTTTTATGTGTTTATCTTTTTTTAGTGGGATGAACAATGTGTATAACTGAATTTACTGTCTCAAATTTTAGATGCGTGGTTTTTAACAATCGGGGAATTGCTGGTGAGGAGCTGTTGGTAAGGATGACTTCTAAGATAAACATCTCTCACAAGCAGTATATATGGAATCATTGGTGTCTGTTTGTACAACTGGATTTAAATGAAACTCATGTTGAAAATGCAGAGAAGAGAATCTAGTCTGATACATCAATGATGTGCCAATATTCATCTTTTATTTTAAAACTCAAAGAGGTCAGCTGATCAACACACAATTTTTGTGAACATGTCATTTTAGGAAATAATTTAAATTATTAATGTATGTAACATTAAAATGAACAATCCTTACACTTTTCTTTCCAAAAATACTAAAATATCTAAAATGGGCACATCCAAGAAATTCTGTTCAATCAATGTAATTTTCTCCCATTGTTTTAAAATACAAATGCAAATATAAGAAATTGTAATTACTTTCCCAGTTGCCAATATGAGTTTAAAATAGATTTTGATATGGTTAAAAAGTTGTGCAATTAAGATTGATCCATATTATGTGTTACTGAATTAATGAAGTGAGTTTACATGGATAGCCATATCCTAAAAGTTAAATGTGTTCCTCTATTTTTCTCAGCAATTATGCCAAACTTGGCTACATAAGGTATTTTTTGTCTTTGGGATAGACATACTATGTTTGCTTGGAAATTTAACTAGCAAAATGACAAAGTCTCAAAGCTAAGTATTTTCTGCAGTTAGGGACAAGGCATGATGAATTATTGCTGAATAAGCTTTGTTCTTTCAGATGTGTTTTGTTGACAGCTCTGCAGCTGGAATAAATGTGCATAATACTCGGTATTGTTTTGTATTTTTTAATACCCTGGTTTCAACTTTAAAAAAGCTCAGAATATTTTCCCATAATCAGATAAAGCATTTCAATGCATATATTGCTATGTTAAGAGTAGTTTTGCATACTTTTAGAGATGGATCTACAAAGCAGTTTTGTGACACACAGAGTCCTTATTGATAAATTTCTGAACTGCTGAGAGAAAAGATCTCTTGTTTGGATGCATTGTGTGTATATTACTGTAATCGGATTTCCATCTTTAAGCTTCATAAGATCTTACTGTGCAGCAAAACAGCTGAAACTACCACATTTTCTGCAAAGAGGCATGGGGGGAGAGGTCTACAATTCCACATAAGATCCCTGGTTAAAGATTTTGAATATTAATTGAGCACCAAAGTAGAAATTAGTCCTGCAAGTAGTTCTCTTTCTAGACTCTTTAAAATAGATTTAAATGATAGCTACTTATGATAGCTACTTATGATAGCTACCAAATGATAGCTACTTAAAGAATCAGTTTGAAAACGCTGTTCTTGTTGATTATTGGAAGTGACAGTGAAATATTTTTATGGAATACTCAAATATTAGATTGACTACAGCCAACATGAGCTAAGATGGTGTTTTAAAATATCTTCATATAGGGAGCAGACAGATAGGCATTAAAGTATAAGGAATTAACTGAAGTTAAAATGCAGGATATCTCTCTAGTTTTAGAAGCTTGATAAAATACACTTTCTTTTGGAATACATTAGACCCTAGTTACCAAAAATAATTTCTTTTTCCTTGTAAACTTCACAATTTAATTAAAATAAAACACATTCACACTGGTTTTAATTAATGGGGTGTAAAACAGTGAAGTGTAATTCATGTGGATGAGACCTGGAAATGCAGCATAAATAGAAATTAAACCCATCTTCAGTTTTAATTACCCAGATTTAGCTTTTTTTCCTTTTTTTTTTAATCTTGGCTTCAACATTTCAATATTCTTGTTAAGTGTATTTTAAGTAATTAGTTTAATCTAATTAGACTTGTTAAAATTGCCCACAAATACCCAGGCTTTTTAACTGAAAGCAATTTAAAAAAAAAACCTCTTTATAAGACATTGTTGCTTTAGGCAACAAATAAGTTCAGTTAGCTCATAACTAAGTTTTTTCCTATTTAATTTAATGTTCATACTGAATTTAGGCAGGCCAGCTGCTTCCTATAGTTCAGTCAAAGTCACTAACATGTTAGTAAAAACTATAGTTAAAAGCTCTCTTTTGCTGTAGATGAAATCTAGAAAATTAGAAAAATAAACCCCCTCACTTTACCGTGATTCTTACGGTTCCCAAAAGGATTTATCTCCCTTACACTGCTCCAGATAGGCCCCCAGATTGTGGCCTGTAGCAGGTGTCTGTGGAGATGAGGCTCAAAAGCTGCGCTTACCATGTAAAAGCAGGGAAGGGGTTACCCAAATCTCAGTGATGCCAGTGGAAGTCATTCCAAGTTTGGATTCAAGATTTGAAGAGACTGATGGTAGATAGAGAAGGGATACGTGTTTCATTGCTTTAGTTAATAGAATGTTTTAGTAAATCAGGTAAACGGCACTGGTGAATTTATTTATCCATTTATTTGCTTGTATTGTGTGTAGAATCTAAATTTTGGCTACTTTTCAGATGCTGACAGTACTTGAAATCTAGCATTTTCTCTTGCATTTGAATGTGGGTGAAGATGGTAAACTGCTGGTTTAACTTCCTCTTCTGTAAATTGCAGCCTTTATGGTATGTCTCCATTTCCCCAGGGTATCTTAAAAATACCAGTGCCTGTCTAGTTCTGCCGTAGTTCTGTCTAGTTTAGCTCATTGCTCTGTGTACAGATTCTGTCTAATGACGTGGAGGTTGCAGATACTGAAGATACTTTTCACTTGTTTATTTTATAATGATGGCAAGTACAGCTCCCTTCCACCTCCTCATGAAGTGCTTTGGGTTTGTATTTGCCATTGAGCACAGCTTCACGATAAATGCTAAATTCATCCTGTTATATAAATGATCCACTGTTCAGATTGCTTTGTCCTTAAAGGATAATACAAAAGCTTATGATGGCATTTTTTCCCTCTGACTCCTTACAGACACCAAGGACCTACTGTGCCTCTAATACAGAGGATTTGGAGGCTGTTATTCATCATGTACACAGCTTGCACCCGTCAGCTCCGTTCATAGCAGCAGGTGTTTCGATGGGAGGGTAAGGTATAATGTTACACAAGTCTCAGCTTAACTATGATTGTAAAATAAGTCTGTTGTAGCCTGACTGTGCATTACTACTCCGCAATACTTGCATTACTCACTGAGTTGCAACTAACCTGGGTCGCTTTCCAGCAGTTCATGTTCAGAAGACCTGTAGAAACTTCGTATCTTCGAGGCTTTCAGCTCCCTGTCAGGGAAGGTTGAATTTGGACAAGAGGGGGTGTGGATAAAGGCAGGAAACTGTGACAGACAGGCTGACATCCAAACAGGTGGGCAATACAATCTTCAGGAATTATGGAGGCTGTCTCTGGAACAGAGGGATTAAAAAAAGGCACTAGAGCTATCATACCATGTTTCTTAGCAACTTCTGGGAATGACAAGATTTATCTTCACTCTGTTTGGGTTCTGCAGTGTGTGGTAAGTTAGGCTGGGAGAGGTGTGGGTATCTACTCTGTCTGGCTCAGAAGCAAAAAGTAGTATTGTTGAAACCGGTATGGGTCGATAACAGCATGTCATATTAAGACTTACGGTGTCTTGGCTTCTCTCCAGAAAGCACTCCTAGAACAGACAATGATAGCACAGTTTCTTAGAGAAATCACTGCTAGAAGCTAGGAGAAATGTTAAGACAGCCTCTTTGATGAAAATCATAGGAGAGGAGAACTTCCCTTAGAAATACTGCAGACACAGTGGTAACTTCCCAAGACTTCCCCCTTCTTTCTGACAAATTTGGTTGAGGGTGGGCAGATACAGCCTTATATATTGACATTAATCTGCTAACAACTTGTAGGAGCTTCAGGGTAAATACAGATTTGTTCAAACAATACAGTTATTGATTATCAAATCCAGGCAGCCCTGTCTTCCCATTCACCAATCGTTCCCCACCGTGTGACATGTAAGCTTATTAAGGGTGTGTTCCATCTCATCATCTAGTTAACAAAGATGTTATACGGTACTGGCCCCATTATTGACTCCTGAGGAACACTGCTAGTATCTGGTCCAGCCACTCCAGTTGGACTTCAAGTTCCTGACCACAGCTCTCTGAGCCTAGTAGTCTGGTCAGTTTTCCGTGCATGCTGCAGGTCACCTGTTCAAACCGTGGCCCTCCAGTTTGGCTACATGGAGGCCATGGAAGACTGTCAAAAGCTTTGCTGAAGTGAAAGTCATCAACATCCATTCCTTTCCCCTAATCAGTGAAGGCAGTCAGCTCATCATAGAAGGCAACCAAGTTGATCAGATATGCTTTGTCCTTGGTAAATCCATGCTGGCTGTTATCAGTCACTTTCTTCACCTTTACATACTTGGAAATGGCTTCCAGAGGGTATTCCTAAAGCACTGAGGTTAGGCTGGACAGCCTGTATTTCCTCCTCCTTGCTGTTCTTGTAGATGACATCAGAAATATGCCATAGTTGCTGCAACCTTTCTAAAGTCACAGAAAGCAGTCTCATAATGGCATTGTCTGCCTCCTTATGGAGCTTTGGTGCACCTCACCATGTCCCATGTCTATGCCCAGTTTGCATAACTGGGTCCTAATTTGATTGTCCTCTGCCATGAGTAATACTTCATACTCCCATACTCTGCCACTAGGCACAGGGACCTAGTAGGCCTGAGAACAGACCTCATCAGTGAAGACAGGCAGCCTCTACTTTTTACTAATCTTTTTTTTCTGGGTTCCCTGCTCTTTTGAATAGTGGTCACAGGAGAGAATAAAGTCTGGTCAGCCTGATGTCAGTTGTTCGAGAAGATCCTCTGGAAGCCATTTCCAAGCACATAAAGCATGAGAAGGTGACTGGATTCATCAAGGACAAAGTATACCCAAGTGATCTGATTGCCTTCTGTGACGAGATGACTGGCTTCACTGATGAGGGGAAGGGAATGGATGTTGTTTGCTCTGAGCCTTTTTTTTTTTTTTGTACCAATGTATTTACAGAAGCCTTTCTTGTTGCAGGAGCTTTTTTCTTGTTGTCCTGCATATCCCTTGCTAGTTCCAAGTCCAGCTGAACTTTAGTTTTCCTAACTGCCTCCCTACATTATTGGACAATGCCTGTTTCTCCCAGGCAGCCCACCCTCCTTCCACCTTCAGGATGCTTCCTTGAAGTCAGTTAAGAGATTTTTGTTCCTCCATGTGTTCTGCCACTCTTGCTCAACTTCCTGTACATCAAAATGTACCACACTTGTGCTTTATGTTCCACTATCCTTAAGGTCATACAGTTTTCCCAGACCCCTTTGCCCATCAGGGGCATCTCACATGGGGTCCTGCCAACCAGATCACTGAAGAAATTAAAGCCAGCTCTCTCCAGTATTGTAATTCTGCTGCTTACCTTCCTCACTCACTCTTGATCTTCAAAATCCAGCACTGAATAATCTTAGTAGCTAAGACTGTTCTGCACTTTCCCATACCTGGCGGGTTCTTCCTTACGTGTGAGTAGCAGATCCATAGCACACTTTCCCTGTTTGGGTCATTGATTGTGTATCAAAATACTGTCCTCAGTACTGTCTGGAAATCTGGTCTGCTTGTGCCCCGCTTTGGCACTTGATGTCAGGATGGTTACAGTTCCCTGTGCCCAGTGATTATGAAGTCTCTTTTAGCTGTCCGAAGACTTGGACTTTCTAATTCCTCCTCTTAATCAGGAGGTCTATAGCAGATGCCCACCATAATATCCTCCTCTTTGTTAGCCTCCTGTCTGATTTTGACCTGTTAGCTCTGAACTGGCTTATAACCTTCACCAGTGAAAAGTTCTGTGCATTTAAATGGCTTCTTTGCCTCCTCCTTGTCCTCAAGGCCTTCATGAAGAGCCTGTTAGCATCCATCATAGCACAGTCTTGTCTGCTTGTGAGTCCTCCATGTCTCTGTGGATCCAATAAACTTGTTATGTGACTATGCACAGACCTCTAATTCCTCATTTTTTTCCCATGCTGTGTGTTCATGCATGTGCTGGCAGATGAGATGGTCTGCAGTCATGCTGCTTTCTCAGGGAAGTGTGACGGCCTCTTCTGTCATGCTGTCGCTTCATCAAGGCCTGCCAGGCCTTCACTTCTCTTCAGGCTTTGTTCTCCATCCCTTGACAAACGTCGTTTTACACCCTTCTTCACAAGGTTAGCAAGTTTGTTGACTCTTACCTTACCTGGCTGCTATCTCTCCCCAGCTCAGACTGTTTCACATGCAGAACAAAATAACATGATGTACTGCAAAAACATGTTTCACTGGAAATGTTGAAAGCCAAAGAAGCATCTGCGGTAGAGATCTGTTTCAACAATGAGATACAGATTTAAAGCACAGTAGGTTCCTCATGGGTAGCTTCATGTGTGGTGCGCTGTTATTCTAGAACTGAGAGGGCTGGGGTGCAGTAGGTGAAGAACCAGATTTTCAGGGCTGAAGATGCATTAGAAGCTGGTTGTTCTGCAACTGGTACTGAAGACCAGTTCAGCCCTTAGTGTCATTTCTGTCCTTAGCTTAACCTAGTTATGGCATCCTAAATAGTGGTGAAGTCTCTTAGTGTGGCACAGGGATTTGTGTTTTGTTCCTGGTTTTGGACTCACCACCACCACTGGGTGATTTTAGGCAAGATGTTCCACCTTCCTCCTCCAGTATGTTTTTAAAGTCCTGAGTCACAAACAGAAAGCATATGCTTAATCATACAGAAAACTGGAAGAGTCTCTAATCATCCATGTAGGGACTGTTTCCACACTTCAAAATTAGTTGGAGCACTTGTATGTTTAAAACAAGCAGGAGCAGAAATCTCACCAGGGGCATATTGTGAACATCATCCACTTGTCGTAATCTTACAGTAGTTTTTGTGATCTCTTCTTTTTCAGAACTCTCTGAATAGCCAGTTAATCTATATAGGGCACAGTTGCCCAGCTAAGAAGAAAAATAAACATTCACTTCACAAATGTGTAGATGTAAATGAAAGTCTACCTGTTCTATTGGTCTTCAGTATGTATTTTTTTGGAAAGGGACTTGTTTTCTAACAAAGATTCCTAAACCTTCTTTCTACCGCACATATTCTGTGAGTTCTGTTCAAGAACTTGCTTTGCTACTGCAGCTTTATTGTTTATGGTTCAGTGTTCTTACAGTATGTAGACTGGTGACTCAAAGGTCCCTCCTCTTCTGTGGGTGAGAGGGAACATAGCTACTAAATTTCTGTATGTGCCACAAGTGACTTTCCTCATTGGGTTTAACTGTGTGAGCTGGTGGCAGGAGCCCACTCCCAAGTGCTGTTTACTGTTATCTTCTTGCTGGTTCCTACCAACTGGCAAGTCTTTGCTAATACCAAAAACTGACTGCCCTTTTGCACTGCTGTCCTATGATCTGGTAGGTGGTGCATGGGGGAAAAGTCTATGTGATAGCAGGCTGGTTCATGGTGCTTTGCTGAAGGTTGCTAAAGGTCTTCTGAAGCATGGTAGATGACACCAAGGTACACAGTGCTGGTGACTCAGGGAGCTATATTAAGTTGTAAAACCTGTAATGTTTTGAGTTAAAGGCTTGATAATAAGGTGCTGGTTGTAAACTTTGGGGCCTCAGGCAGGAAAGCAAGACTTACAGCTTTTCTGTTAATATTTTTTTTTACTCTCTTCTTGCTATTTTAGTTTTTCGGCAATTGACGGGTCAGGTACTGGTGAACTCTCCCCTTTTTTCAACTCAACTATACATCAGCAGGAGAGACTGTAATTTGCAGTTGTTCAGAAAAGCAAGATAAAAGCCATCTATTTGGCTCATAATTTTGTTTTGCTACTTTTATTAATTATTCAGGGCTTCATTCTTTACATGCTTTGTGCTCAAGAACAGTTGTGTTCTCTTACGTGTGTGAGGTGGGTTAAAGGCTTTACTTTCAGCTCAAAGGACAGCTTCATAGCGAGGCAGGCGTGCCAGGGGCAGCTTCCATTTGTCAGGCACACTAATCAGACTTACCAGATCAGGAAGACTGAGAGCTTGTAAAATGGCAAAACTTACTAATAACTTAGGAGTAACCTGTTGCATGAGTAAGGTACATTTATTTGACCTCTTCCTCCCTTTTAGTGATATAAATAAGGCTAGAACATCTCTATCTCTAAAGGCACTCCTACACACGTCCTACACAGCGCTCTCTGTCCCTCTCTGACAGTAGAGGGAGAAAGCAGACTTCATGAGTCATATGTTGATGACACTGACTACCTTTTTCAAGTATTAGGCACAACTGTAGGGCTGATAACAAGAAACTGTTGAAAAACAGACAAAAAGATGGCTGATTGTTTTATCTGCTTTAAACTGAAGCAAACAATTTGATAGTATATATGTTTCTGTTTTTCATTTCTGTTTGTAGCATGCTTCTTTTAAATTACCTGGGCAAAACTGGCAGAGACACTCCTTTAATGGCAGCTGGAATTTTCTCTGCGGGTTGGAATGTTTTTGAATCTGTAGAATCTCTGGAGAAGCCACTAAACTGGCTTCTTTTCAACTATTACTTGACTACTTGTCTACAATCCTCCATCAGCAGGTGAGTTGCCTTGTGAACTATTTAGCAAGATGGAAGGATGTTAGCATGAGATCTACAGCAGGTATAATAATAGTGGCAAAATGAATGCTGTAACAGCACTTTCCATAGCTGTGCTGTGTGCATTCTTCAGTAAGTTTTGAAATCTAAAGGATCTTTGCAGGAAAGATCAATGAGACTAAATTTCTCTGTTCCTCAAGGGACTTGGCACGAGACCAGCACACTTCTGTACTTACGGGTGCAGTGAATGGATTTTTAAATTATTTTTGACATGCACATACTGACTTTGAGTATATACATATATACACCAGTTCTTTTAAGTCGGCATTGATTGCACAAGCATGGAAAAGACGAGTTCATCCTTTGTTTTATAAAATTAGGATGTATTTTGTATTCCCAAATATTTAGTTCTCTTACCTTTGGCATCTTTCTTGTGGCTTATGCAGATTTTTTACTATGTTGCTGGGTGTGCCTGCATATGAATGAACAATTCTTCTGCTCTTGGATTCCAGAAAGATTTTAATATGAAAAAAAAATTAAAAACCAAGCATGTTATCATTAGGGAATTGTTTCTAGAAATATATCTGTAGAGCAGAGGAGTTTTACATCTGTTTATATAACAAAAAACAAGCTCTCCAATTATTTTCTTTCTTTTTAGGCATCGACAAATGTTGGAGAAATTATTTGATATGGATCTCGTGATGAAGGTACGTGAAAATGTTACTTCTGCTTTAGCAGTATGCTGCTTTCCAAATGCTGACATAGTTCCCTATTTGAATTCTGTACTTCAGGCTAGAACTGTTAGAGAATTTGATAAGCAGTTCACTTCAGTCATGTTTGGCTACCGTACAATTGACGATTACTATGAAGATGCTAGCCCATGTCGCAAGCTGAAGTCAGTAGGAATTCCAGTGTTATGTCTAAACTCTGTGGATGATGTTTTCTCACCAGGTCATGGTAAGTTTAGGCTTTTTAAAATATGTATTTCTGTATGTGTAATCATTAAGACAAACTACATAGGTCTGAGAACGAACCTCTGTGTGGAGGTGTATTTAAATGTTATTCGTACGTAGGATTGAAAACCTCCAAGGATGGATCAGTTTTGCAATTTAATTACCGTGCAAGACACATGTAAGAGACACAGACACATATAAACCAGCTGATAATGGAGGCACCTGATTAGTACAGAATGCAGAAACACATGGGGTGGCAATCATTAGCCATTAGTAGACTCTTTACAGTCAAAAGAAAGAAATATGCACATTTAGGGTATGAGTTATCTAATGTAAGAACAATACCAGACATACTGCCCTCCCTCAGAAGCATCCAGTTCTATTTGCCAAGTACAGAGAGACCCTATAATGAGGAACTGTGCTTCAGATGTCTTGGTTGTAGACATTCAGAGTTCAATTAAAGTGAAAACAAGTATTTTTTTAATTGCCGTTCTTCAGTCCAGTCCCTAAAAGGAATGTATGGGAGTTGCTTATGGTTCAGGTGACTTGAAATCCTCAGCTACTGATCTCAATGCCACCTCCAGTGCCTGAAAATTAAATGTCAGAAAATATGTAAGTTAACATGTAGGCCAAAGTCTAGGGTAAGGAAAGCAACATGGACAAGATGAGCTCCTAGAAGGATGCACACTGAAATTAGTAAGAATCTAACTAGAATATGAAACAGCAGTATCAGCTATTAACAGGCTCAAGGCTCTGTTTTCCCTTTTCTCCCTATTGTCTGGCAAACACATGATTATTATGAACATTTTGCTTTTCCTCTGAAGATTCGCTTTTTCCTACAGTCTGTGTAGTGGTTATTGTGTCTGAGTAGAGAGGAAGAACAAAAGCTAATGTAGAGAAAACCACTGTAATGAACAGTCGGCTGGGGGGACAGCCTTCAGCTGTACACCTGACACATTTAAAGATGAAGTTTATACAGTTGATTTATTTCAGGGGAGTTTTCTTCTGCCACAAGTCAAGTGAGATTCTTGCAGAAGGAGTCATGAAAGCAGAGTGAATAGGCAACAAGATCAGAACAACAAACAGAAAAATGAAGGGATTGGAAGAGGCTCTGTGTGTGTGTGCAGTGTTTATCTGTGCAGAGAGGTACCACACATACAGAAACGTGTGTGCACATTATCGTTTGAAGATGTGTTAGAGACAAATGTGATATGAAGAAAAGAGGGGCATTCCAGTAGAGAGCAATAGGAGTCCGATTTCTTCTCCTCTTGATTAAAAACCATCCATGTTACGCATGAACAATATGAAGAGGTGACAGCCACCTAATATGAGGGGGGAAATGGTGACTCTGGATTAACCAAACTGCCTATCCTTTACATTGGCTAAAACAAAGGCTTAAAATAAAATATCTGGGCAAACATAGCAATACGCTTCCAGAATACTGCATCTACCTTTAACAATTTGCCGTTCAGGGAGTTTCTGAGACAGAGTTAGTCTCTTTGTATTTACTGGCCTCTGTGGCTATTTGGTTATTTTCTGTTATTTAGTGTCCTGGAAATGAGAATGGATGGGGTTGTGACCCTAAAATCTGTGTCCAAATATAAAATGTGGCTATGTGTCATGATAAAGGGGGTGTTTATACCCAATAAGAAGGTATTCTCCCACACTAGGGATTCTCAAGATACATTTTAGGGGTGCTATGACCCTAGGGATGGCTTTGCCTGTAGTACTGCAAGGTGGGTCATCTGCTGTGCCATACTTCTGCCATTAAGTATCTTAGAGAGGGAACAATGGCTTCACCTCTGTCTCTAGTCTGGCTCCATTAGTGGTTTCTGTTCTGAAGTGAAGTAGTAACTGTGGCAGGAGTAAGCTAGCTAGTTAGCACATGTAACAACAGCAGTGAACCAGACAGTGTGCCTCTGACCCTGGAGGATTTGTTAACCTTTTCCAGCATATTTTCACAGGGACCGGGACCTGTGTTAGCTGGACTAAAGGTAGTGCGATACTCAATGCCCTTATCTCTTCATTCTAGAATATAACCTCCAGCTCTCAAAGCCAACCATTGACCCGGACTCCATGAAATCCAATCTGAACACAAGAAAACAGGGTTTTTTTTAAACTGTGAGAGTGGCCAAACATGGGTAAAGAGAGGCTGTGGGGTCTCCATCTCCATAGATGGATCAAAACCCGATTGGAAGCAGTCCTGGGCAACCTGCTGTAGGTAACCCTGCTTGAGCAGGAGGACTGGACTAGATAACCTCAAGAGATGTCTTACAGCCTCAACAATTCTGTGATTGCTTAGATCAGCTAGCCAGAAGTACTGCCCTAGGGTACAGCTGTAGCAGATCTCTCCTCCCTTGAAGGTGGTTCTTAAAAGAAACACAACTCTTGGTCAGCAGCAGATTATAGGGGTGATCTTTTGTGTAAGATTAAGTAGCAAACCTCTTTGAATGCGTTAGAAGTTCTGCAGTGTAGGGGTGGTTTGAGGTAGAGCACCAGCACTTCTGAAACAAGAAGTGTTGGAGTCTGTTGTAGTAACTGTCCATCCTCACTTAAACTCTCACTCTAACCAGCCCTTCTCCATGAAAATGTTTGGGTGGATAGGCATTCATTTATTCCTTTTTCACAGAGTGAATGCTGTTGGCTCTGAACTGTTGTCCTTGTGGTGACAAGTTTACCTTAGAAAGGGCCACCAGGACAATATTGATTTACAGCTAATAGCGTGACTCTGTTACGTGTATCACAGGGCACCCTGGTTAGCAGCTTAAAATTATGGCTGGTGCCATCAGTTACTGGAGTTCATTCATCTTGATGCTTTTGCAGGCTGGTTTATGTTAGCACATATGAAGGGCTGGTGTTAGTCTGGGAAGTGACTTTATTCTGGCAACTGGCGTGTTTTTTCTGACTTGAAAGTGTGTGGACACAGGTAAGCCTGTGGCAACCAGAGCCACTTTCCACTCACAACTGCGTAATGGATTCAAAGCCACAACATTTCTTCTCCTCCAGACTGCAGCCTTTTATTGACTTTGGGGACTGGTTATTTCATGCCTCATCTGTCCCAGTAATACCTACCAGCCTTTAAGCTACCTTCTACCTCTGTTGTAGATAGCTGTAGCTTCCAACAGCTGTGAAACAGGCCTGGAAAACTCATTAGGGAGAAAGCTGTGCCAGGATTCCTTTGTGTTTAAATATCTGTTATCAAGGCAGCCGTATCTATCTTCCTGTAACAGAGTTTGGGGGATACAACCCCAAGTCTGGTTTGTCACTACACAATATGAACCTATAGAGAGACTTCCCTTAAGAAGTGCAGATGCGGTCTCTGTTGCCTTTTGCTACCTGATCATTTCTCCTCATGTGACTTTCTGGTACACTTTGTACTTCCCAGCAATTACTGTTTAATATATTGTGAAAATGCGCCCTTTGATCTCAGTCCAGTATTAGGAAGAAACAATTTATCTGCAGTCCTTCCTTAACGTTGCCGTTTAAAGTTCATAGAGCTTGGCAGCAGATGCTTCTGTGGTAGGTTAATTCTGGGACACAGTCCCCGTACTGTGTAATAGTAGCTAATGAAAACAAATGGTTTCTTCATTGCATGGCACTTCTCTCACAGTAACTAATTTAAATGAGCCATTGCTTCAGGAAAGATGTAATATAACCTTTTATTTTATGTGAAAAAGAAATCAAGAAGATGGAATGATAGTATTCATTATCGGCCTCACATTTAACTTTTCATCTGAAGTGGCATTTTTCTCCTTAAAGACTTCAAGCAGTGTATTAGGCATCCAACTTAAATTGCACTATACTAATGCTTAGCTAATTGCCACTGGTGAGTATTGTGCCCAGGCTAGAAGCCTGCCCTAGAAGCCAGGTACCATGTCGGCTCCCTCCTGATCCACTGTGCCAAATAAGTGCGTATCTGAAGCTCAGCTTTATAGTTTTTGTTGAACTCTTTAAACCTTTTCTGTCCCTCTGAATCCAAACTTAGAGTAATTGCTCTTAGGTGTTATTTTGCATCCTATTTGTAAACACCACAGTTGAGTGAAGCTGGCTGGAGAGGCCAAATGGCCAAGGAATGGTCAGACTGAAAACAATTAGAGTGAGAGTTTAAGGGATAGGGAGAAATCAATCAAACAGTGGAAGAGGAGGTCTGAAACCAGTGACTTACTGAAGCTGATGCTGCTTCACATCTATGTTTTTCTGTTGTTCCTTTTTTAAAAAGTACTTTTTGCAAAGAATGTACAATAGATTGTTTTATGAACAAGGTGGCTGCCCCATCCCTGGCAGTGTTCAAGGCCAGGTTGGACACAGGGGCTTTGAGCAACCTGGTCAAGTGGAAGGTGTCCCTGCCCATGGCAGGGGGGGGGGACTACCTGATCTTTAAGGTCCCTTCCAACCCAAACCATTCTGTGATTCTGTAATTCCATGACATAATTTTGCACATACATATTTACATTGTGATTCTGTGATCACAAATAACAAGACTGTGCCTGCTGGATCAAACAGCAGTACAGATTTTGGTCAGTAGACATGTGTACAAGATTACACACGATAAAAATGAGCAGTAGTGTCTTTTGGCATGCCATCCTATATCCTAGGGTGCATCACATCCAGTGCTGTGTTCATCTGCCCTTTACATTGCCGAATTTGCTCTCTTGCATGGTGCGTTTATATGTGGATGGTTAGCAGCTCCTAGAACAGCCCTGAGAAAAGTACTGCACGACTGCCAGGCGGCATTTGCGTTTTGTCACTGGGGAGATCACAACATACTCAGTGCTCTCCTGAGAAGCTGCAGAGCAAGAAACACTGCTGGGGATGTATCAAGACAGCCTGTGCCAAGGGCAGGCTCTCCTGTTCACCACAGGGGAGGTGAGAGCAGAGAGGTGACAGCAGGTCAAACTTGGCACCTACTAGAAATCCTCGCTGCGGATGGAAGCAGATGACTGCATATTCAGCACAGTGCTACAGCTTGTGTCATGAGAGCGATGATCTGTGGCAGAATTCTGCTGTAAACGCCTGTTAGTTACAGTAGGGAGAACTTCAGGACGGGGAGGATGACATTCATACAGACCTGGGCATGGCTTACACCTTACCTGGCACAGAAATAACCAGCATCCGAGCACCCATAGGCTTCTAGGAGAGAGCTGCTGTAGCTGCTTAGAGGCAGGCAGCACGTTGCACCGACTGCAGTCTTGCCCGTCAGTTTGGGAATGAATAATTTACCACCAGCAAACTGATTTGGGAGGTATCATTATGCTGGGAACCTCTGAATGACAGGTATGCAGAGGTCACAGTGAGCACTGGCTGTAAGGGCTTCCCCAGCTGGGTTGGCACAGCGGAGGAGACATTTATGGTCATCTCCCCTCCATACCCCCAGCAAAGCAGTTTCTTACTAGGAAAGGATATTTCTCTCTACACTTTGATACTAGTCTGACAAAAGGGAATGACCATCATGTTTTTGCACAATCTCAGCTAGCGAAGAGGTGTGTTTGGGCCAGTACACAGCTGATCCGGAACCCACTGATGGAGTTGTCATGTTATCTCTGATTCTTGGAGAACAAGTCTGTCTCTCCTCACACATTCCTCCCCATACAATAGGCATATAGGCCTATTCACTACTTCCGTCAGTGACCAGGGAGACAGGTGTGGTTCATTGCCTGAAGCAGGAATGGGGGACTCAGGGTTGAGTCTGATCCCCACTTCCCTATCAGGATTCTGTTTAATATGGCCCACATACTACTAGAGGGAAGAGAAGCAGATGGCTTGGGACAGATAAGTGGGCAAATTCCCATGCAGCCTGCAGAAGCTGATATGAATGGTAGTCACTGTCTTTGTACATGGCAATGTACATTCACAGCATCCCAGGGAACCAGAGCAGAGATTGCTGGGCAGATTAACTCAGGCAAAACTCCAGACAAGTGCTTGCTGAGTTTGGAGTCTAAAAATGATGCATCTGTTGGATTGCAAGAAATAACACATTGTTTTCTGCATCTCTCATTTTCAGCCTGTTCTGTTCCCCAGTCCAGGCTGACAGGCTGTAGACTTCTATTTCATTGACTTTTCTTTTTACTCTTGCCTCAGTATTACTTTAAAAGGCCTGGATACTGCATATAGTATTTTCAGTTTTCCAGCTGAACAAAGGAAAAGTCAAGGACTTCTTGTAGAGACAGTGAGAAGCACAGTTTCTTCCACCTAGTGAAGAATCAGAATCACTTATTAAATGCTGGAACCTATAAACTACTTAGATGCATGCAACTGTGAAAGGAGAGGAATAATGGAAATTACTATCACCAAGTAGCAAAGAATCACAGGTACTCTGCATGACAATCCCCAGTGCTCTCTCAGGCTCAGTCTGTGCTCTGTTCAGGGCACAGTCAAGTACCTCATGCTATGGGCAGAAAACCTTGTAACACATTATCAAAAGACACTTAACCTGCTGCGGATGCCTTGGCTTAGCATCCATGCTGAGGCCCTGGGGTGGAAGAGAACACGTTGTTTCAGGCACTGTAAGGACTTCTGAGGTGCAGACTGCTCCTCTGACCCTGATCTGTTTTAAGTTGCACATCTGTTCACCACAGTCATTGCACTCAAGATCTCCTGTGACTTAACTCTGGCTCGGGGTCCTTCTTCGGTAAGGAATGGGTGCTGTGCTCTTACACTAGTTGCTGAAAACAAAGGCAAATAGGCATCCGAAGCACACAGCAAACGGCTGTGCCAGCATCCAAATCAAAGTAAGGAACTTGCCTGTAAAGAAGGTAGTGATGTGCAGGGATGATGGCTATTTGAAATAGCAGATGTGTAAAGGGGTAAAGGAGAGAAGAATCCTAGAAATAGGAGTGTGGGGGGATGCGTCTGAAGGAAGTTCAGTCAGAAAGGGATGTGGACAACTGACACCTCCTCCCTCCCCCTCCACCCCAAAAAAAGAATCTGATTAAAAGTTGCTTTTCAAAAAATACTTCAAAATAACTGAGGCAGCAGTAGAAATCCTGGGAATAACTCACTGCTTTCTGTTGTAGTGCCAAGGCATTTTTACTTCAGCAGGGCATGACCTAAAATCAGACTTATTTTCTTGGGAAATCATAACTTTTTTTCACAACCCAGTGAAATTCCCACTACTCCCTTCTGTCTGGACAAGGCACGTCTTCTTTTGCTGTTGTTTTTTCCTCTCAGTCCTGAATAATCAAAAAATCTGTATGACTTTCGTTTTTTTCCCTTCCATGGAGTTACTATTTGAAAACTGGAACTTTGAAAGGCATTCTTTACTGAAACTTACGGAGATTTCTGCCTGATCAGGTGTATATTTAGCATACTTAAAACTCCAGAAGAATTTGCTTAAATAATTTTTATATCAAGAATGCAAATGCCACAGCCCCATAAAGCTTCACTGTTGTGCCAACCAGTTAATGGGATAATAGGGTCATCCCATCACACTGAAATGCCATTTGTATTTCAAATATGATAAAAAATAAAATACATGCCATAATATTTTATTACGTATGTCATATTAAATGTTATGTATAATTATAAATTCTTATTACTAAATATTATGGCATCCTAATATTATATTAACTTTTTATTATTCTGACATACAAAAGTCATATCCTTTCCCTGTCATCAGTCTCCCCTTGATGACCTTTATTTACCATCACAAAGGGAATTGCCCAGGTGATGGCATTGAATCAGCTGAAAACTAACTTAGCAAGAGAAAAATCCTTGTAGTATCTGGTCTAATAATCCAAATCCTAAATGAAATAATTTTCTAGCAGTCACTGTTTAGTAGAGAACCAGTAACCTTTCTGTGCAGGTCTCTGTGCCGTTGTTTGCCCTTCCTCTGTTTCTGCTTACCTTGCGTGTTTAGATTATGAGCTACTGAGGGCAAGAACAACCTCCCACTGTGTTTGCCTGGTGCGGCCTAAACGTGCAGGTATAAATGTGTGGTGAATCGGACAGAATGATGATAACCAAGGATATCTTTAATATCAGCTGATAGGGTATCTTACAGACAAAAATCTTAACGACATTAAGGGTTTTGTGTTTGCAGTCTCCTACAAAAGGAATGGGTTTCACAATTAGGGTTCCAGTTTCTCAGGTTTTCCAAAGCTGAATGTTGCAACACAGGTCGAAGACTATAGGCTTCATTGTCCTTTCACGTACACTACTCACTTATACCAAATCATGAGTGTGCATTAACATGAGTGCTGTTCCATCAGTGAGACTGAAAGAAAGTTGAAGCTGGAACTTTTACAGCAGCCAGAAAAATCACACAGAGAAGGTGAGTTAATGGCAAAGGCTTTTAATGCAGATACGGTTCTGCATCCTGCAGTAAGTTTAAGCATATGTTAATGTTGTGCATATTTGTTCATATATATTACAAGAAACATTTAAGAGAAATTATTCAGTGGCTGGCACTTCTTAGAAGGATAAGGACTTAAAATTTTCTTTCCCCCCCTTTTAGCTATACCAGTAGAAACTGCCAAACAAAACGCAAACGTTGCTTTGGTTCTGACTTCGTGCGGAGGCCATATCGGTTTTCTGGAGGGAATATGGCCAAGGAAGTGCACTTACATGGACAGAGTCTTCAAGCAGTTTGTGCAAGCTGTGTTCGAGCATGGAAATAAAATCTTTAGCATGTAGATTTGGACCACTATTCTAGCTCAGTGGCACATTCTGACAAGGGCAGTTAAGCTTAATGCACAAATTTTAACTTCTGTAAGCCAGCAAATGGATAAAGTCCATTACTACATGCAAAACTATTTTTGCCTAAGATTTTGTAGCAAGAGACTAAATATGTTGTCACTTTTATATTTATTTTTAATATGCCTTACTAAGAATGATCTTAAATGAAACAGCATTCCACATGCATCAAATCGCACTTAACCACAACCATCAAGTAGACAGGTTATAATTCCTCTGGATTTTAATTTAAACCGGTACATATTTAGGAGACTTAATTTAGGTGGCTTTTACTATTGGAATGGCAACACTCAAAATAGCATATATTATCTTGTCACGCATAGTACAAGATGGCCTGTTTCTTAGGGCACTAATGGCGAAAACCTTAAAATAGGAAAACAAAAGGAGGAGGGAAAACAAAGCAGCACTGATTCTTCAAATAAGTCAAAATTTCAGCATGATATTCCATAGGATTAGATTGATAACCTGCTTTTGCTCTTCTGCCCTGAAAATGTTCAGATTTAGGGCTAGTTATTGTTTTTTAAACTGTGTCAATGCCATACTTGTCTTATATGATTATTTTTAAACAGCTAATTTATAGTGTTTACATATAACCAAAAGATTCCTTTCAAACAGTACTGTAATAGCTTCTGTAATTAAAAGACATCTTCTTGCATTTCTAAGTTCAGGTAAGGCTTGTGTGGTCATATATGTAATACATACCTCATATAACTGGTAAGCTGTGATTCCATCTGTCATATTTCTATTACCCTGCAATAACATTTCAGTTTTAAAGAAGAAACATTAGAAAAATCAAGACATTATGAGATAATCTGCTTTAAATTAAAAAAAAAAAAAAAGAAAAAAAGAGAGATATCCAAACCCTTTGTCTCTGCCGTTGTTTTATGTAACCTCTAGAAAGAATGTAACAGACTGTTTAAAGAAAGCTGGAGCTGGGATGGGGGTCAGAGCCCCGTCTCTCTGGTGTGTTCCTTTGATAATTTGTCAGCACTTCAGCAATAGGCTGTCAAATCATTGAAGCCTCTGCAAAGTGATTTCTGCCCTAGAGGCTTATGAGTTTGTGAGGCTGACCGGGGTGTCACTGAGCTCCTCAGCCTTGAAACAGAGTGAGAGCCAGCGTGGACCTTGGAGGAGAAACGACAGTTGGACAGAATGTATTCTGAAGTGGATGGGAAGTCCAAATTTAGGGCATACTGAAATCACAGAAAAGGCTTTTAAGCAGCTTCTGTGGAGCTCCCGCTTCATGCCGATCACTGATCTGGGCCCAGCCACACAAGATAAGTCAGTAAAGATGCCTTTGCATTTTTATTTTTATCTTTTGAGTGGGGTCAGTATGAGAAGAAAATGCGGATATGAAAAGCCAGTCAGGTCTTTTGTCTCAAGCAGTACGTGAACAGCCCTTTTTTGCCAGGAATGTTTCCTAGTAACAGCCAGGGAAGAACAGAAATACTTTTTGTCTTTAGAAAAAGAAATGGGGACATGCTACACGAAAGCTGGTTTTGTGAGGTGGGAGGCTAAATTAAAAAATTAGAAAGTGCTTTCAAGTTTTGACTTTTCAGACAGGCAGCGGCCCTTGCCCAAGTAACAAAGTCTAACTTCTTTTTTCGCTAAGGAGGAAAATGAGACAAGAGACTTGTAAAAGTAAAATGGCATTTTGTGCATGTTCCTGCAGTACATGAAAGCAGCGTGTTAGTAGGGTGCCTTATTTATTCCAATGTTCATTTCCAGTTTTTATGTTCGTACAGAAACAATGAGCAATAAACAATGTGTTGAGCATTATATTTGTTAAATGTTTGAGTACAGTACTGTTCAAAACTCAGCATCGTGTATTAATAAAAATAAAACCACTTACGCACATGTTTAAATAAAAGTAACATGATTAATGGCAGAAGTTCTGTCTCTTTGCATTGTCTTATTTCATTTGGACCTAATCCCATCCACAAATCCCCATGATACATTTCTCTTTAAAGCTACATCTAGCAAATATGTGTACAGTTTGGGGTTTTTTTTCTCCACCAATGTGGAGTTTTTTATTACACTCCATTAGGGAAAATGCATTGTTCAAAGCACAGTGTGCAAAGTGACAAAAAGCAAATTTTACTATGGATATCTTCAAGCTTTCCCTGTCAGATTTTCTGGAACATATAATGCAGACACTTACCTCAGTTCTTGTGGGGGGGACACACACTAGCAAGAAGTGTCATAAACATTTTTGTTACGTGGTGTCTTTGTGTCTTCTACACAGTTTCACCAGTAAGCCAAAACCCAGAATGTGCCCTCTGTTCAAAAAACAATGTGAATTTCACAGGGTCTTGATTTGGCTTTTCATGGGATCTGGGTACCCTGGCAGCAGCAGGGATATGAAATGTTAGACGTGGGAGAAAATTGTTGGTTAGCGATATACTCATTATTGGAAAGATTGAGTGAAATGAAAATGAAATTTCAAATCACAAAGGTTGCAGAAACCTCTGAAAGAAAACCTTCTTCCCAGTTCAGAATCAGTAGTGGAATTTGGAAGGGGCCTCTATAGAGAATCCCCCTGCTCTACAGAGGACATACTACATGTATGTTCCAGAACATCCACCTCTTCTCAATTTGCTCTTGGAGTCAGTGCAAGGTACTGTTCTTTTTATCTGTAAAGCCTTCAGTCACTGAAGATCCACCTGTGACCTTAGCTGTCTTAGTACGAGATCATAAAGACCTTAAACAGTAATTTATTATGTCCACTCTTGGCAAACAGACTTTTTAAGAACTGAAAATTTCAAATAGAAAAATCTGGTTCTATGAATGCAGAGAAACTAACCCCTGGTATACATTTCACATTGAACAGAAGAAGGATTAATGCTCTTTTTAGAAACCAAGACATACAACAGCACAGTTTACCAGACTTAGCTGAATGGGCTGTGGAGGACAGTCTACATTTCTACAGGAGCTGGTGTCAAGAAAACATCAATGAAGTGGTGGTGACTCTAGGCAGGTCGACATGGTCCTGTCAGTATGGCATAGAGTATCACGCTTCAGACATCAGTACGCTCATTGTTGCAGAGTGCCATCACTCCGAGGCCCAGACTGACCATTACAGAGGCTGGAAAAGGGCCCCATTTTCAAGAATTAGTCCCCAGTAATTTAGGTTTAGGGAGCTGCCCCTTACCTCCTCCCTGCTGCAAGTTGCCATTTCCAACTGAGATCTAGTAGTAAACGGCTTCAGACCTTCAAGTCAACAGAATGGAGCAGCTTGCTTATCTCAGCAGTTCCCAAATGTTTCGGACAACAGCCCCCTTCCATTTTACTGTAATTCTCTGGACCCCTATGCACTACTCACATACATACACACCCACTGTCTGGCCTGGCCCCAGATCTCTGCAAACCAACTGCCAGCCTTCCCTCCAGCTGTAGTGATCTGCAGTGCTTTCTACCCCTGCTCCTCTCACACCCCCACAAAAACACCACACTCAAACACACAAGCAAACTGAACAAGTCCGAGCCCAGGCTTCTTCCTGCCTCCCTGCAAAAACACCAAACCGAAACAAAAAACAACCCCATTCCCCTCCCTGCTTTCTTAGCTAGATCCCTTGTAAAGCTCTTTAGCTCGGGTCAGGGCACCCTCCAATCCCTGCTGTCCCACTGCCTCTTTCACTTCCGGCTCTATAGCTACCTGGCTCCTGCCAGTGGCTCAGACCTGGCAGGAAGAGAAAGGCCTTTTAGGCCTGATGTGGTGCTCATGAGCAAGCACACCATGATCTCCCCACACCGCTTCAGCTCAATGCACCGTCATCCTGCAAACAAAATTAGAGGAAATACTTGGTCACCGAGTCACTGAGCTGCCGTCATGCACGGCCACCCTTGAGCCTGAGCTGTGTCCTGTGGTTCTCATCCCAGGATGCCAGCTGGTGAATAAGAGCCTTGGAATGCCCAAGGTAATGAAGAAGAGAGAAGAGGGTATAAAAAAGCCCAAAAGAATCTCCCTAGGGACTTGCCACACACCTCCAGCATACACACTGGATTCCCTCCCCACAAGAGGCTAGTGCTGCTTCTTAGCAGCCTGCAAAGTAACTCCTGCAGCCAATCTGCTGTAGCATATCCCAGCCATGTATGTGGGGTTTTACATTTTCATTCCAACACTAGAAAAAGAACTATCTATCTGCCAAATGCACCAGCAGCCACAACAGCCAGTGGTTCTTCATCGGCCAATGTCTCTTCCTGAGGGATCCAATGTTCCTGTCTCTTTCTGAAAGTCTACTGGAGACACAGAAGTCAGCCCCTCCTTTCTTCCTGGATGAGGATAGAGGGACCTTCTGAATCTGCTAAATGGATGGAAATCAGGGCCCTGTGCTGCCCCAGCTACTCCTTCAGTTCTTTAAAGGATCTATATATTTAGTGATTATAAACCCACTAGTTTAAATCAGCTCCGTATGTGGCCTTGGCTAACCCATCTGAGGCATTCTTCCAATGCCCTGGGGGTGCCTGCAGGGTTAATGACAGCTGAGAGGTTTAAGCAGCTACTGCCTCTTGGTTGTCAGCCACCACTTCCTTGCCCAGATGAGATGCCTGACAAGCAGTAGGGCAGGTTGGGAGCGTGTTAGCAGACCAAGTGGGGCTGTGCTTGCAGGACTGGTGTGATTGAGCTTGGGATCAAGAGCTCAAGTCTGTAACTATGTAGCCTCTCCTAAGGCTGCAGTTTTACGAGCAGCAGTCAATGTCAACAGCTCCCTCATGCCAGAAGGGGAAGGCTTGCTCTTCCTTCTCCCCTGCCTCTTCTTATCCTCCCTGATTCCAGACCTCAGCGTTGCCCTGGCAGACTGTGATCCACTCCTTCCACTGGGTGAACTTTTTGCTAGCTCAGTAAGTTAGATTTGCTTGCCTATGGGTGTCCCTCAGGTGCTAGATGGGGGGTGACATGAGGTAAGGAGTTGGAGCACACTCCTGAGAGTGGGGGAAAGAACGTGGAGACAGGAGTGTGAAAGGCTTCCCCTTTTTGGTGACAGTCAGCTGTTACACAGATCACTGCACCTCCCTGGGCCATAGGCACTACCTGCAATTAGTGGGATGATCCATATGTCAGCTGAGTTATTGCTCCTGTGAAAAAAAAGGCATAGCCTAGAATCAAGTCGCTTTTCATTTAGCTCCAGACAAGAGGCACTCCAGCAGCATTACAGCAGAGGTAAGCAAAGCTACATTAAATCCTTTTGGGGTTAAATCTTTCCTATCCAAATTCTCTACCCGTGTGAATGCAGTTCCTCCTCCCACCCTCCCCAGCTCCCCTGGTTCTACAGCAAATCCATGCCCGAGCAGTCCTATTCATATTCACCACAACTTCCTGAGGAGAGTAAATTGCGGTAAAGTTCCAGTTCTTTCAGCGACA